CCTGCCATGGGCGGTTGACAGCGACAAGGGTCAACTTTGTACTTGACTTTAACTGGTGTGTTCACGGCATTGCGTGGAACTTCAAGAAAAAAGAARTCGCTTGAGAAATCATAGTATCCTCCTTTGTCGTCTCTGTAAAGCAACGATACCAACACAACATTAATTAAGAATACCAGTCAGGGGCGGATCCAGGATTTTGTTCAGAGAGGGGTGCTGCGCACAAAGTTAACCCAGAGAGGGGTGCACCCCTTAGAATAAATGGTACTAAACAGTATTGGTTATCTTCAAAGTAGGGAAACAAAGTGGAACCAGGGAGGGGTGCGCACCCCCTGCACCCCTCCCCTGGATCCGCCCCTGACAGTTAGAGAAGTAAACACGATAATAAAACAAAAAAAGAATCCGTAACGCTTACAGTGTTATTACGTCTGTCCCCTCTCCCGCTTCAGCATCAGCATCAGTATCAGCATCAGCATCAGGGTTCTTTCCAGCATCGGCGTCCGTCTTCTTTATTGCAACAATAAAAAGAAACGTGTATGACGAATGTAGGTTTAACATCCAAAACTTTCTTTTTTTACACCACTAACATTTTGTAAAGACGTTCACGATGACAGGAAGACGTTTTCGAATTTGAATTTGCATGCAGTTCAYGTGGGTATGTGCTGACGTTTTCAGTCGGAAGGCAATATGCAATAATGCATGGAAACTGGTGAGTATAGCCATTGCTCACCAATACTACCATGCAGTTGAGTAGGCAGTATATTATTTTCATTTCCTAGGATCCTCCTAGTTTGTGCAATGCCTTGATGTTTTCATTGTGTTTACTAACTACAGATCTTTTATATAACTTAACTAAAATATTTCCTTACCTTGCGAATTTTCTCCATTTTTGGTCCATACTCTTCCAGTTTGCCTTTCTCGTCCAGGTCCTCACACATTCCTTTAAGTTTATCACAAATTCTTTTTCTTACAACACTGTGGTTGTCTTCAGGTAAAGACTCCTCCATTACAAAAGCCTCTTCATAACTKCCTAGAGCTGCTTCATAGTCACCTTTAAGTTCATGAATGACCCCAATCAGGTACAGAATCCTCACGGTCTCTGGGTGCTTACCAAGGAGCGCGTTTCGTATTTTGAACGATTTCCCCGAAAACACAAGGGCCTGGTCATACTTTTCAAGTACGATAAGAATGTTTGCAAAGTTTCTTTGGAACGTTGCTGTGTGGACTGTGTCATTTACTCCAAGTTCYTCTTGCAGACTTAATGCTTTCTCCAAGTATTGAGCAGCCTTTTCATAATTCTCATAAGTCGCACTCCAAGACGTTTCTTCCTTACCAAGTGCTTCGTAGACCTGTGATAGCTGATWGTAGTATGTTGGTATATCGAAATGTTTCTCATCACCAACAAGTTTGACTTTCATGTCCATGGCTTCCTGGTAAAACGTCAATGCCTCTTTTGGCTTACCACATTCCATGTAGCAATCTCCAATAAGATTTAATGTCCTTGCAGTAAGGGTATGATAACCGTACACCTCCTTGTGTATGGCAAGTGACTGTTTTAAATCGCATAGAGCTTGTCCGAGAAGCCGCTCCTTTTCAACTTTACCCGATTCGTCTATCAGGTTTGCACTGCTTATGAACTTTATTCGACCACTGCAGTACTTGCACAATCCTTTTGCAGCCTTCAGCTTCTCAGGCTTGAGCATTAACATGGCTTTTGCTAGCGACATTTCAGCTCTTTTTAGTGCTTCACAAGCACTTTGTGTTCCCTCCATGTCAGACAACTGGATAGACTCCCAACATCTAAAATTGGCACTAGATAACCAGCTTCCTGTGGAAAAAAGATAAAATAAAATAAAATAAAATAAAACTTGACTTGACTTTCTTCTTCTTTTGTCCTAGTTTGGATGAATTGACATACAAAATAAGAAGCCTGCGTACATCCCGACATTAACTCCTAACCACAGCTAATTACTTTCGGCTGCACGCAGGCTAAAAAAACATGAAACAATGAAAAACAATATCAGACTGAGTAGCATGTCTAACTATTCACATCTTGATACGGCGAGTCATTGCTGCCAATGTTTATGTATATAATACACAGCACACTGACCACATAGATCACATGCTGGCAGCTTTTGCATCAACAGCAGTCGAACTCGCGACCCGACCCGTAGGACTCACAATGGTGATATTTTACTTTTATGCCACCCTTAATTAACAGCAAAAGAAGGAAAACACTAGTAAACAGTAAACTAAAGGAGAATCAACAAACAAATACCTTGCTCACAAATTATTTTGAAAATTAGTTTCAATCATCATGATGCAAAACATGGTTTAATCAATATATACCTTTCTTTTCCATAATCTTTGCCCATTCACCAAAAAGCTTTCTTCTTTCTTTAGTACTCTTGAATGCCTCAAACAGCATAGCCACACTTCCTGTCTTCTTAACATCTTCAGATTGAAGAATCAAGTCAAGAGTTTCCTTCCGGGTCGCAAGGTCAATGAATAATTCGAGATTGGCTTTGTCTTCTTCAAGCTCTTTGTATGTACCAACAAAATCKTTATYTAAATTCTTTGCAAGTTGAGTAAATATCTTGGAAAAGTGTTCGGCAAACTGATTTTCTGCTTTCTCGTACGCATGTTTGTAGACCGGGTCTTTATTACACAGATACGAAGTAACAAACTCTCTGAAGAGTGCATGAAAGTCATACTTCCTCTCTCCATAAACATTTTCTGCTGTAAGGATTTTGTGTGTTGCTAACATTTCAAGGTCAAGCTCTGCATCATAACTATTTGAGGAGGATTCAGCGATTTCCATTGCAGTGGACACAGAGAAAGGCCGTTGGAGAAGAGAAATCTTTACAGCAACTTGTTTCAGCGGATCACTTGGTAGAGAATCAAACTGTAAACTAATACAAACATACTTATCTGGTACCCCCTTGCTTTTCAGAGCATTCAATTTCTCCAGCACTTTTGAAGGTTTGGAGTAATTTTGCCGCTGCAATTGCTCTGCTCCCTTAAGTAGGTAGGGTATACTGCGACAAAGAACAACAATTTCAACCAGTGCTTTAATATCCTGGTCATCACTGGTCTCATCATTTAGTCTCCAACTCATCATCTGCCTGGAGGCTTCCTTGGTTAAAGGCTGCACTTCATATTCACTGAAATGTATAAGCTCCAACTTGATAAAGTCCTTTATCTGTATCCTGGAGTATCACCTTCAAGCTCCCTCTTTTACTTGCTTCAGAACTCATAATGGTTCTGAGAAATTCCAAAAATTCTTTTCTCCTATTTTGATCAATTTCATTCT